TTCTCGTGCAACAGTCCTCTGCCAGATGAGAGCAATTACTTTGTACTATTGACCAGATCTAGTCTTCAGTAAATAAATTTGTCAAACAAAATTCATGATAATGATAATACATAATGTATAATGTAATGTTAGTACAGCAAAACGCTATGTGACAACACCGAGAATTTCTTTGCTGTTAAGCAGATTTCATGATAAGCAGAATGCTAATGAAAATAAAGAAAAAAAAGAGGAGGTGACGTGTCTCTTACAGTTCAGATCAGTGCTGGGCCTTATATATATTATATACTATTTTTATTCAATAATGACACGTAAGCAGAGCTGCCAATCTAAAGGAAATAGGGGGGAAAAGAGGAAAACCTTATTGTCAAGCTCACACGGATGCCTTGCCTGCACAGAATGAGGTTTCAAGTGAGGTTGTAGTTTTGTTTATGTGGTAATTTTGCCTTGCTACTTCATGCATTATAAAAGTACATAACAAAATATGGGACTATGGGACTGATCAATTGTAGTTGTAGCAGCACATTACGCAACCTTAGATATTCTAAAAATTTGAAGAAAGGACATTCCCATTACATTATTTACATTAGATTTAGAGGCCATTGGCAGCTGCCTAGTGTATCTTCTCCCTGTCCTATGAAACAATGCCACTCTCTCAGGGAGGGGCCGTTAGCTCAGCTGATATCACACTAGACTATAGAGTGGATGGCCCTGGTTTGAATCCTAGAAGGAGCATTCTTGAACTCAGGTCATTTAGTGGAGTTTTAAGGCTCTCAACCCATTTTACTCCTTCCTATCAATTAGAGACTAACATTAAATTCGGAGGTCCTGTCTCTTAAATAACGTAATAGTGTTGACAGTGGCGTTAAACCCATATACTTACTCTCTCACCAGCTGCTGTGAATGGTAAGTGAGAAAGAAAGCTTGATGGAGGTTCTAATCTTAGCCTATTGAATATATGCTGTTTATATTGACAGCTGTAGACTACAGCGAGTGAAAAAGAAGATGGGGGGGGGAGGTCGGATGGATAGAATGATTAAATTTAAACAGATTGCTGAGATTTTAAATTGTGTTATGAATATGTTGGGAAGCTGCGATGCATAGAATGGAGAGGGAAAAAAATGGGGATAACATCCTTTTGTGTTAACATACATGTAACAATAACAGGAATTTTGTGTTAAACAAAATCATCTGTAATCTGCTCTACTGTAAATAACTTCTGAAGCCTGCTACATTTATGAAAAAAGAAATCCGTGCACATATATGCATGATGGTCAAAAACGATTGTTCCTCACATTCGGTAGTTCGAAGGATCCATAGTTCGAGGGATCTTACAAAGATATGAGAGGAAAAAAAGGGACCCCAGGCACAGTTCGACGAATGCATGATTTCAAGTCTTCTAAGTTTGACCTATCCGTGTTATACTGTACCGCGGTAGTTAAGTTTAAGAAAACGCTGTTTAAAATATTATAGTTTTGCACATGTCATGATAGGAAAAAATACCATTTTCCAAGACGGCTCACTATTTGTAAACAAACTTTGCTATATATGAACCAAACTTCTTCAGTCAAGAGTCATCAATGCATATATATATTATGCTCAATTTTATTTTAAAACTTGAAAATGTCACAACAATTCACCAATATTAGGACTGACAGAGATACACCTTACATACATCAAAGTAAAGAGAAAGAAGAGCTCTTTCGCAAGAAATTAAAAATAATCAAAGCATACCAATGAATACACCTCCTCAGTCTTCAAAATACTCACATAAAATAATGGGTAAAAATGACAACACTAGTTGACACCAGAAGAAAATCACGTCTATTCATGACATACTGTTCACATCAAATTAAAGAGAAAACAACACTCTTATACAATACATAATTTTTAAAAAGCAGAACAAACATTTAAGTATTCATCTCTTCAGTCTTCAAAATACTCTACAAAATACAGAGGAATCCTCTTAAACTTAAAATTAAACTGAAATCTGCGAGACTAACGATTTTCTTCAGTTTAGCCAGGTTTTCAGGTTACAGAGGTTGCTCAAATAGTAATGACTGTCGACAGCATAGAGTTGAATGAGAATGCCATATGTGCGGCAAATTTCACTTTTCAAATTTTTTTTTCTCATCTAAAGTATAGGAGGAGCCACACTAACTGTCAACGCATTTGTTCTTCATTAAGTCCACATACCCACCAAGTAGCCTATAAATCGACACACCAGGCTTTAGTAGGTCATGTGGGGCCTACACAGTGTTGTCTTCGACACAGTATGGTGCCTCACAGACGTGAGCGTCTCGCACGCTGGGCATCACCTCCCTACCCCCACTCACGTTCGCTCACTCCCCTTCCCCGTCCTATTCTCAGTCTGTCGCTGGCAAGCGCCACAGTCAGCGAGTCAGTGCCCCACCCATTTTCCCCAGCAAGCAGCCATTAACAAGCCTTACACGGATGCTACAACAAAGTTTGCGCTGGTGTGTTGTAGTGTGCGCCTCGCGCTGCTCGGTCTTTGGTACCACATCTCCAACCTGCCCCCCTCTGCCTCTTGTTAATTCCAAGAATCAGAGGATGCAACCAGCTTTAAAAAGTAGTGTTGTCTTTTACCACTGACCTCCCCTAGTTTTTTTCCTCTTTGGCTTTATATAAAAATTTCATTTATCAACATTTTTATATATCGACATCAAATCCACTTCCCACAGCATGTCGAAATAGGGGATTATACTGTATATTGTTTAACAACTGCCATTTTAAATGCAAGCTCTATGCATTGTGCCTTCTCTTCAACACTGTCAGTGTCAGCTTGTTTAATCTGCTGAACAGACACAGAACAGATGAGAGTGTACAAAGAAGTGAGAAAGAAAGCACAATGCAAAGGACGTCTTTTAAAACTTCCTAGAAAAAGGGGTAAAAAATTAGCTGAAAGATCGTTTGCCCACCTTGCTCCATCAATTTGGAACTCTCTTCCCCCACCCTTGAGACATACATACAATATCTGAGTCTAATTTTTTTTTTTAATCTTTAAAGACACATTTGATGACATCATTTTTATGTCAGTAGATTCATGTTCAGTACAATGTTATGTAAATGACTATGTATCCATTTATGTATTTTGTGAATTGCATTGTGTATATTATTTTATTAAGTATGTGTATGTGTTCATTTCGTAATGATGTTAAGCGTGCGCGTGTGATAAGCAAGTAGATGTGTGTGTGTGTGTGTGTGTGTGTGTGTGTGTGTGAGTGCGCGCGTGCATGTGTGTGTGTGTGTGTGTGTGTGTGTGTGTGTGTTTGCGTGCATGTGTGTGTGCACACGTGTGCCTGAGTGTGTGTGTGTGTGTGTGTTTGTGTGTGTGTGTGTAGGATTGTGTGTGTGTGTCTGCGTGTGTGTGTCGCGTGCTTGAATATTGTTCGTATGCATTTATGTAAAGCGCCTACAGCTGTGTTAACATGGGAGTGGGCGCTATAGAAATGATCTTCCTTATTATTAATATTATTATTCTTACGAAAAAAAAAGAAAAATGAATCAAGGGTTTTATTTTCTGACAGTTTATTGCTGTTTTCAAATTAACTGTGTTTGGTTTTCCAGAATCCACTGCACCAGATATGACACTCATCTGTGCACTCTCGTTTAGCTTTTGCTTAGTAAATGAAAGAAGTTCCAAGCGTTGACACATAATTTGACTAAATCTAGTCCAGATATTGTAATACAGTATATCTAGATTTTCATACAAAAATAGATGAGTTTTTCAGTCATATACATATTTTTAATTTGAATATATGTTAATAAAATTCATGAAAAAAAGCCTTTTAAAGTATTTGATTTTAATTTTCAAGCAATTAAAGTTAAAATTGGCCCACGAAAAATATACCAGAATAAATGGCAATTTGAGTACTTTCAGACGGATTTAATGATATTATAATCGACTCCCTTCGACTTTGAGAGGAGCACTGATGTTTTCAAAATATGGGTTGAGGATATTCTATGAATCCATGATGGCAAGATGCTGAAAAGTGATTAGATGCCCAACTTAAACTTATCTGCTGCATTCATATCAAAGATTCAGGACAGCAACTTGTAAACATTTTAGCATGCTGAAATATGAAGCAAGATACTAGAGAGTAAATTCTACTAATTTCACCCACAATCACCTGCCAATCAATAGTCTCACCCAGTATTGTGTACCTGGTCTAATCAAATGATTTTTTCACTTGATTGGTGTCTGCAGTGTAATACTTGGCCTGTTCACTGCTTCGTGCAGAAGACACGAGCTCCACCTTCAAATAGGGAAGTCTTTTTTTTTTTTTGCATCAAACATTTCCATCTGTCTTGTGGAATTTGGTATCTCAATCAGTCTGGATTGGCCCTGATACTGAGTGATGGCGATAGGCAGGTTCAGAGGATTTTGCCCCGACAATTATCTAAATTTTGTTGATGGGGTCATAAGACTTTTACAATCCAAAAAAGCCTCAGTGGCAATTTTACCTGGAGTCAAGACACGATCATGATAACTAAAACCATAATTCTACCTGAGCACAAGGATCACCCTACTACAACTACAAGACAAAAGATGATGGTTATGTACAGTAGACCAGGCCTTGTCTACAGCCTACAGTGAGGCGCAAAACTGCAAACCAACTACTAAGCTAAAAGACCTTTCAAACAAGCAAAGGGGTATCCCTTGAATTAAATTTCACATCTTTGTTGATATTCTCTCCTTTGAATATTTAAGTAAGCAAGTTCAATACAAGTGGAGTCAACAATACTTTTTTAAAACTGCTCTTTCCCAACAAGAGAACCGATAGCATATATTCAGCCCCCCTGCATAATCGTTACCTCAGAATTACAAAGTTCTATCTGACATTTTTTACATTTTCAAGTTACTAAGGTCATGAGGTCAGAAACCCAATTTCTTTCATCTGCTCTATCAAAATCGTAAGATTATTCGGAGTCATTATCAAGATATTCAAAGAACTGCATTTGAAAAATCTTGACTTGATGGAAAACTCAAAATCTTTGTCATCAAATTTCTCAAAACTAGGTAGGCCTACTGAGCAGATAGAACTTTGTAATTCTTAGATAGTGTAATGTCACAAGATGTATAATGCACAGAGGAAAATAGCTTGTTACAAGTTGAACAAGACGTTGCTTGCTGAAGCTGCACTGACCGGGCGAGTCTGAGGAGTGGCTGGGCGAATATCAGATTCAGGGAACTGTTTCGACTGCCCCAGAGGAGGCGGATGGATCACAGTCTCCTTTGTAAAAACGGAAGGCCAGCCTGTCTCTTCACCAGCTTCAGAACCAGAGCTGTGTTTTGGGGTGGCTTCCACTGTGTTTTTCCTTGGAAAATAAAATTTATGCATGCATGACTGAATTCAAACCAAAAATGAAAATATTTGAAAAAAACTTTAATGTTGAAGAAAATGGAACCATTCAAAAATTCAAAAACTTAAGTAATCATTGAAAATTTAAGAATTACATGTTTTTCACCATGCTTCAAAACACAGATTTTAAGATTTTAAATCTAGCCAGCTAACTGCTTTTATCCAATGTATATATATCGAGGTTTGACTGTATGTATAAAGAAAAAAGTAACTGATTTTAGTCCACAGCACAAGTGCCCCCAAAAAATCCCAATAATCTGCAATTAGTAATTAGATGTAGCAGAATATATGGCATTGTAAGCTTTAAAAATATGGCTTTTACCACACTTTCAACATTATGGTCATTATGAGGCAAGACCTATATAAACTCAAAGTGCATCTCTTTTATATAGGACCAAGCCAGGTCGGAAAAGAGCCTTGAAATCTCCCCACACAACCCAAGTACAGTCGAACCTAGTTGTACCGCCCCGTCATACCATCAGCCCTGCTTACCGCCAGGTTTTGCCAATGTATGAAAAGGAGCACGTACAAACATAGTATTTGTGCCTTTACACCATCTGCCAACTGTCTGAGTTGTACTGTCCGTATATTAAACTACTGTAAATTCGCCCCCCAGCACTGCCAGAGAATTGGTCGCCAGAGATAGGCTTACACCCAGCACACAGCATACGGCACCCACTTAGTCCAGTGGCTGCTTGATCATCTCTTTCCCCTCACATGTCAAGCTACACTAATATAGTGTAAAGCGCATAGAGCCTGCTGTTGAGCGGGGATATGCGCTATACAAATGCTATCTATTATTATTCTATTATTATTACATGTCCCTGGCAGCGTGACCTATTTCGAATGCTTGTCAAACTCCTGATTTGCATTACTTTTGAAAATGTTATCATTTTATGGCTTTCGCAAACAATAATATTTTTAGAAATTGAAATTGGAATTAAATTGTAAAGTTACCTGAGGAAAATCCAATGACTCCAAAGGAACTGTGCCAACTTGGCCTGCCAGCAAAATATGTGGCATCGCCAGGTATCAGCCCAACTATCTAACTAGCGCGCCCCCATAAGTCTTTGATATCGTTAGGAATCACACCCAAATTTACAGCATACATCCAAGGTAATGCAAGGACTGAGAGTACAAAATTTGTTGGGTAAAAAAAGCGTCAGTTTACAGAGTTCTCTACGCATATATTATAGCCTAGACTCTGATCCTAGTTTTCTTCAATTTTGAAGTTACTTAAAGTTCAGAAGGAACTGTAGGCCTACCTGTAATTAATTGCTACATGTGTATTGTATTAGCTGTGCATGGCAAATGTGCAAAACAGATCTAAAAGGGTAAGACTGGCCACAGTTTGTCTCTTATCTCTACCAGTCTACCACTTGTCAAAATAACAATCGGGGGGTAACCTGTTATACTGCCAGCCCCTTTGTACTGCCAACGTTATGCTCATCCCAAGGAAGGCAGTATAACTAGGTTCAACTGGACCTTACAAGAACACCCACACTAGGATTCAAACCCGGTTCAACTGCACCACAGTCCGGCATAGATACCACTGAGCTTCAGCCGTTCCCTATAAAATGAGTGCTCTTACCAAAACACATAATTCAAGGCGCTAGGCCCACCAATATATTGAACGGATGGCTTATGAAGAAAACATAGCTTTTCCAAAACACAAAAATATAAAAATAAAAAGGGAGTGGGTAAAGAGAGGGACAGATAGAGATCTATAGGTACTTCTATCTTTGCTATAGTAAGAAAAATGAGTAACCCATGTTGTTGTGTGTTTTTGACTAACCCTGTAAAATCACACGCATTTTATACTCCATTTTCTTGCAACTATGATGCTATTGGGTAACATGTAACTGTATTTAGAACAAAATGGGTAGGTGTGACTACACACTACACAAACTTACTTTAGAATGATGAGCGTCAGTAGGATGCCCAATACCACAACTGCAACCACACCACCAATCACACCACCGACTATGAGTGGAATTCCTGAAATGTCAAAGAATAATGCAAATGATATAATTGTCTAGCCTGTGCTTTAATTTTAACTTGTCTCATTATATTGAAGAGGATCAGGAGAAGGCATCTGATGGTGACAGCTCCCTTCAAAATCAGACCTATCATGACAGTATCAAAATAAAGAAAGGCTGGCAGATGCATAAAAAAAACTTGTGTTCCCGTGATGATACCAACCCTACTTTTCATTAAATCAATGATAAAACAGGATAGATAGAAGTAGCAGGACACCCTAAAAAGTAGGTCACATCTACTAGCCATACACTCCTATCTTAAAAACCTTGACAAATAAAAACAAGAAAAAAACAAAACAAAAAACACAAAATTTGGCATCTCCACAGTAATTTTCTTTCTTTTCTTGGATGATATCTGGAGAGTAACTGTTAAGAGCTCGTCCCTCAAGCTCTGGAACAGCATGTGGGGGAATCATCAAGGTACTTTATCAGAATTAGTCAAAACTCAAGCTCTCTACTTCTCCTCTGCTGCATGTGACTGCTACAGCTCATCTCTGCTTACCTTCCATTTTCTTGGTTACACGCTGGAGTATCTAGGATTGCTACTATAGCCTATGCAGCAGCATTTGAGGGGGAGAACAATTACAGTACTTCATGATGGTCTGACGAGTATAATCACATCACAGATCGAATAAATTTGCAACATCCTTGCAGAATAGGGATCTTGAACAGGACACTTATCTCTGGTGTTTTTCACAAACCGGTTATATGCAAAATTTTCAATTTTCGTTTTATTTGCTTAATGAATAGTCAATAGCATGATACGTGCCCCCAATAAACATGAGGTTTGAAAAAAATCTAGAAATATGTTTTAATTGAGACTTTCCAAAACGGACACCTGCAGCTGGGGGAAAAGTGTCACGGCCAAACAAGCCACGTACGTAGCCGTTTCGGTTTCAGCAGGCCGTCTTGACACGTGTCAAAATGCGTCATCCAAACTGGCTACATGCTACCCCGCCGCACATCACCCCGATCGTTCCGTATAAGGTTTTTTTATTCCTTGAACTAGACAGAATTTTAAATTATTATCAGTGTTCATCAAGATAAATAATATTATAGTCGGCAATGAAGTGATTCGATTTACTAGATTAGATTTGTCAACTAATTTATGTAGATGAGACGTAAGAACGTGAAAGATCTAAAAAAAAGTTCCAGCCACATTATGGACCCACACTTTAACAACACGTTGCAAGCTCTCTTCTTC